GCTGCCTGGCTGCCAAAACGCCGCTCTGGGGCCGCGATTCCAATTTCCAGCATAGCTGGGGGCTCTCCAGGGCTCGGAGATGTGTGCGCACATGCCCTGGAGCTGGGCAGAGCAGGGCTGACACACATGCAGGGGGGCGCTCCCACCCACAGCGGGGACACAGGGGACACGAGGGCACGGGGGGAAGACGACCAGCCCCGAGGGAGCCGCGCAGCGCTGCTGTTACCCCCAGTGCCACAGTTCTCCTCGTCAGTGCCGTCCATGCAGTCCGCATCAGCATCGCAGCGCCAGCGCATGGGGATGCAGTGCCCGTTCTTGCACTGGAACTGGTCGAACTCGCAGCGCGGCGTGCAGTCTTTCTGCAGGGGGAGGACGAGCGACAGCGGTCAGCAGGGACAGCCCTGGCTGCCGCAGCCTCCTGTCCCATGACTGCATCCAGGACCAGGCTCAGCCCTTCCCCTGGTGGCAGGGGACCCCTGGCACAGACAGACTGGGTGGGACCTGTCCCCACTCCCACATGTGGGCAGGACGAAGGTACTGGCAGAAGCCCCTGCTCAGGGTACTGTACCTCATCAGAGCCATCCGCACAGTCATGGTCCCCATCACACTTCCACCTGCCGGCAATGCAGCGGCCGTTGGCACACGAGAACTCGCTCTCCGAGCAAGGTCGGGGCGCTGCGGACAGAGAACATGGGACATTGCCCTGAGCGCGCGCTGCGGGCAAGGCTGCGAGGGCAGAAGGTCTCCCTGGCCAACAGCTTGGGGGGCACAAGCTGACACAGACACACATCCAGTGGCACTGGGGACAGGGTGGGGTGCAAGCAGAGCCAGGGGAACTGCCAGAGATGGGCACGGCTGATACCACCTCCCAGCCCCCTTCCCATCCCGCGCCAGGGCTCCCAGCTCCCTGCGGGGAAGTTTGGGGGTACTATGGCCATACAGACTCGCTTCTGGCGGCTTCGCGGCTGCACGTCTCCCAGGGTATTCTCCGAAGGTGGCACTGGCCCCACAGCTCCCTGCTGCCCATGCCTGCTG